TCCGACCACTTCAGGTATCTGCATATTTGCTCCTCCCAGGTTTCGATCCCTCTACGCAGTGCTTGCAAGCGAGCATGCGGCCCCCCATCCCACCAACTGTGCTACGCCCCGAGGGCTTCTCTATTTTTTTTCTTTCCTCTTATCTTCTTCCTTCTTCAAACTTGAATACAAATTTTATTAAACTCAAAAAGAGAAATATTGGTTCCCAAAATTTCCAAATTTCTCAATTCAATTCATCGATTCAGAGACCATCTTGACCAACCGTACATAAGAAGAAAAAAAAAAAAAAAAAAGCCGGCGCTCGGTGCTGAGGACATAGCCGGTTGCCTTCGTCGGAATTGGATTGATTGGGTTTGGGAATTTTATGGTTTAAACCCTGCGTGACCAAAAAAAAAGGAAAAATTTACTTTGTTTCTATTCTCCATTAAAATGGGCTAAGCCGCACCACGTAGCAACTATTAAGGCTAGATAACTATCGATGATGCGTATTGTTTTTGTATATTTATGAATTGTATATATAAACCTTGCATAATGCATCAATATGCGAACACATTTCAATTTTTTTCACCTAATAGTTTTTTTCAATTTAGTTATACGAACAAGAATTTTCCGAAAATTATTATTCACCAACTCGGCAAAAAATATGCGACGTTTGTATGTCGCAATTTTGTTCGTCGCAGAATAAAAAACTTACAAAAACAACAATAAAAAATATATGTTATTCGTTATAGTACCAGTGTTATGCGATTTGTATGCAAAATTGTTTTGTGTAATAATCGCAAGGTTCATTCGCCTAATAATCGCAGGTTGATAAGTAATTTAGTCACAGACCAAGAACGTTTCAAAAATTAAATTTATAAAATTAATTATTTACCAACTCGGGGACTAATATGCGACGTTTGTATGTCGCAATTTCGTATGTCGCAAAATAGAATATTTACAAAACCAAACTTATATATGTTATTCGTTATAGTACGAGTGTTTTGCGGTTTTTTGTGGAATTGTTTCATACTAATAATCGCAGGTTCATTCGCCTAATAGTAGTCTTCAATTTATTATTAATTCACAAACAAATAAATTTCCAAAAATAAAATTAATTCTTCACCAATTCTACTAATAATATGCGATGTATGTACGTCGCTTTATATCGACTCAACTACATTACATTGATAAATTTTTTATAAAATAAATTGTAACGCCCCATTTTATTTAAAAGAGTTTACCGAATTTATTTATAAAAATCAAAGTAAATTTTTCGCAAAAATCCCAAATTTCAAACTTAAATGTCAACGGGCGCTACTTAACTACTAACAATGATAACAATAACACCGCAAAACTAAACAGGCAAAATTAACCAAACGACAGATTCTCTCCGGTGAGAGCCCTTGATTCTCTCAGTGAGAGCCTTCCTGTTCCGTCTTTCCGTTCGATTATTCTTTGTTTCTCCGGCTAGTTTTCACTTTCATAGTGTAGTTTCCCGTTGTTCCTTGTCCCCGATTTCAATACCTCTGGTTATTTCATTTTCGAGCCTCGGCTAGGATTCCAGATGGAGAGCAGCAACACTTTCAACCCAGATGATGACCTCTCGGATCGTTTAGGAGATTTCTCTTTTTCAGAAAGGGAAATCAACATCACAGATATTGCCCAAGAAGATATCAAATTAAGTGATGATGAATGCGATAGGAGCCTTTTTGGGAAAATAATCGGTGATAGAATTTCAGGATGGTATGGACTGAAAAGGGCAATGTCTCATATCTGGAGGCTCAGTCAGCCGATGGAAGTGAAGGAGTTCGGCCCCAATTACTTCCAATTCATCTTTCAAAGTAAAGAAGATAAGGTCAGGGTTGCAGAAGGATCGAACTGGAGTTTTGAAAACCAGTACCTTATCCTTAAGGAATGGAACATGAATCTAATTAGTAAGCATCCTTGCTTTCAGGAGATCAACCTCTGGGTCCAGGTTACTAACCTCCCTCTAAATTGGTTAAGTACTGATGTAGGCATGAAAATCGGCAGAACATTCAAGGAAGTTAGCAATGTGGATATAGTTAATTCAGGTAATCATGGCAGCAAGCTGTTAAGACTTTTGGCTACCTAAATCTGGGTGAACCTATTCCTAGAATAGCTCATATCAGATTGGGTGATCAACTTGTCAGGGTAGAATTCATGTATGAAAAGCTTATGAACTTGTGTCACTACTGCGGCAAAATTGGTCATCTTGACCGAACTTGTCAAAGAAGAATTCAAGACATTAATAATAAGTCCCTAAAGGATGGTCAATATGGTGATTGGTTGAAGGCAGCTGAAGGGCAGAGATGGGTTGGTTCTAATCTTTCTGGGAGTAGAAACTCTCCTCCACCAACTTCCCCACTGGACTTTGATTTAAGAAATTCTAACAAGGCTTCTTCTAGTCAAGCTGAGCATAGCAATCAAATCATACCTGCTCAATTGGTTGCTCAGATACCAGTTGAACATATGGACAAGACTCATGGCTCCACTTCTTCTGAGGGCCAGCTGCAATCAGTTGCCTCCTTCTCATCTTCCAATAAGGAATCAAGCAACAAAAGTTGCCTAGCAAAATCTAATCCAGTTGTTTTAGAATCTTCAACAATAATGGAAGTTGAGGCTCCTGAGATCTCAGAAACTCCCATTCTGGCTATTCAACAGAAGAATGACCCAAACACCTTCCAGGTCCTCCTAAAACATGGAAAAGGATTGGGACAAAAGCAGGTAGACTCTAAAGAGAGCCAATCACTCCCATTTTGATTGACAACATCTCATGAGGTAATAGGTACTCTGCAGACTGTGAGCCACTAGTATCTTCCAAAGGCTTTAAATTGCAGAAACAAGGAGAGAGTTCCAAGATAGAAGAAGCATCTGAAAAGGTGGAGGTTGCCAGCCTTGAGTGGCACCCAAGTGGTAAATGTTAGCTATAGTGTGGAATTGTAGAGGGCTGGGTGGGCCCTCTACAATTTTCCAAATCCGAGAGTTATTGAAAACTCATCACCCCAATTTTCTCTTCCTATCTGAAACAAAAAAATCAAAAGCTTTTGTTCATACAGTTAGTAAAAAGTTGTGTTTTGAAGACAGGTACTGTGGATCCTATAGGTCTCAGTGGTGGACTTGCCTTATTTTGGAATGCTCAAGTCTCTATATCTCAAATTATATGTTCAGATTTCTACTTTGCAGTTGAATTCATCCTTCCTCAGAACTCATTGCAGTGGGGGATTTTTGTTTACCTAAGCCCTGTTAGATCCATTAGAACTTCTCAATGGGAAGTGTTATTGGGGCACAAAGCAGATTGGGGGTACAACTATTTGCTATTGGGGATTGGAACGACATTTTATCCCTCTCAGAAAAATCAGGGGGCAACTTTAGACACCCATCCTCGTTCTCAGGGTTCTCAAATTGCATCAACAATATGTCCATGGAGGAAATCAAGATGGAAGGGCCTTTTTTCACATGGTGCAACGATAGAGCCTTTCCTGATTTAGTGGAGGAAAAGTTGGACAGGGGCTTTGGCTCGATTGACTGGAACCGACTTCATCCAAATGCCACAATCTCAAACAAACTAAGAGGTGCATCAGATCACTCTTCTCTCCTTCTTGATCAAGGTCTACCCAGAGAAAAGAAGAAAACAATGTTCCACTTTGACAAGAGATGGCTGACTAGAGAGGGATGTGAGGAAGTAGTTACTGCAGCCTGGTCCATTGAAGTCTATGGTACCCCATTTTTTCAGTTAAAGGAAAAAATTAAAGCCACCAGGATTGCACTTCTCAAGTGGAGTTATGGTTTTCAAACTCAAAATCAAGAAGTCATTGCTGCTCTAACCCAAAAGCTGGAATCTTTGAATGAGGATAAATCCTCTATTGACTGGGAGAATTGGGAAGCTACCAAAAGGAGTCTCAACTTAGCTCATAAGCAAGAAGAGCTTTTCTGGCAACAGAAAGCTAAATCCAGGTGGCTAAAAGAGGGGGATGCAAATACCAGGTTCTTTCATGCTCTAACATTACAAAGGAGGAGAAATAATGCCATCACCAGGCTAATCTCTCCCCAAGGAAGAATATTCAACACTCAGAAGAACATAGAAGGCCACATTGCTAAGTTTTATCAAAATCTCTTTACCTATGAAGGCTGCTGGGGAGGTGATTCCATCCTTCATCAATTCCAAACACTATTACAGCTGATATGAACCAGGCATTGCGTAAACCAGTGGAGGAGGAGGAAGTTAAAAGCACTTTATTCAGCCTTCATTCAGATAAATCACCTGGGGAGGATGGAATGACAACAATC